TTGAAGAAGAGGATCAAATCACCAATATAGAGGACGAGGAAGCCAAGGTCAATCAATCAGAATGACAAGAAAAAAGAAGCCAAGACTATAATAATAATTTAAGAAGCCTATGGGGCACAATTAAATGTAAAAAATATCTGGGTCATAGGGGTGCCTGAATGGAACAAGAAGTTGATGAGCTATTTGAAGAAATAATGATGGAAAACTTTCCTTACCTGGTGAAGGAAATAAACATACAACCCTAGGACGCTCAGATAGTCTCAAGAAAGAGGAACCTAAAAAGGCTTACACCAAGACGCATCATAATTAAAATGCCAAAGGTAAAATACAAAGAGAGACTCTTAAAAGCAGCAAGAGAAAAGCAGTTAGTTACCTACTATGGAGCACCCATAAGACTGGCAGCTGATTTCTCAAAAGAAACTTTGCAGAACAGAAGGGCTTAACACAAAAATTTCAAAGTGATGAAAACCCATAATCTACATTCAAGAATACTTTATCCATCAAAGCTATCATTTAGAGTCAAAGGACAGGTAAAGAGGTTCCCAGACAAAAATAAGGTAAATGAATTTGTCAACACAAAGCCACTGTTATAGAAGATGTTGGAGGGACTTTTTTAAAAAAAAATGTATCAATATCGTGATAAAAATGGTAATAACTACATATCTACTAATGATTATCTCAAATGAGAAAGAATTAAGTGCTCCAACCAAAGGATAGGGTGACTGAATGGATAAGAAAACAAGACCCCTACATATGCTGCCTACAAAAGACTCACTTCAGATTAAAAAACACACAGAGACTAAAAGAAAAGAGATAGAAAAAGATATTGCCTTTATGGAAATAGAGGGTATTACACTAAAGGAAGTAAGACAAATGCCATGTGATTTCACATACTTGCAGAATCTAAAGAACAAAATAAACAACAGCAAAAATGAAAATAAACTCATAGATACAGAGAATATTTTGAGGGCTACTAGACAGGAGGGGTTTTTGGGGAGATGGTGAAAAAGGGTGAAGGGATTAAGAAACACAACTGGATACTTACAAAACAGTCATGGAGATATAAAGTGTAGCATAAGGAAAACAGTCAACAATGTTGCAATAAATATGTAAGAGGGAAGAG